AAGAAACACAAGTCTGAAGTCAAAACAGTTGACTCAATTCTCGGGGAGATGTCTGCCTGGAGGTAGGAGGGGGGAAAAAGATAGACTTGGAGTGAGTGGAGACAGGGGAAGCAAAGCTCTGTGGGGAGCCCTACAAAATGGGGCAAGTGGGCACCTCCCCACACAGCTCGAGACAGAAAGTCGGTCCTGCCTGTACACAGGGTGGCACTTCCCAGCATTTTGGAAACACATCTTTGGGCCCAGCTGTTCCACTTTTAAGAATGTCGCTTGAGATAGCCTCATGCAAGGGCACAATAATATATACGAGAATGTCCACTAAAGCCTCATTTGAAGTTGAGAAAACTTGGAAATGACTCGAATGCTGTTTAGCAGAGGACAGGCTAAACAAATTACAACACGTCTGTACAGTGGAGCCTGAAGTAGCAAACGGCGCATGTCTGTAAATATGAACAGGAAAAATATTCATTATACAGTAAGTGAGAAAGACCAGTTGCAGGATGGCACAGGTATGATGATACTGTTTCCATAAAAACTAAAAGTATACCTGTGTCTGTGTGTGCGTGGAAAAACACGAGAGGATAGGTATTAATTTGTGACCAGAGTTTGTCAGTGGGAGTTGGGATTATAGGATATTTTCTGTACAGTTCTGTAGAGTTTTCTTTTCTTTCTTTTTTCATTGAGACAGAGTCTTGCTCTATCATCCAGGCTGAAGTGCAATGGCGCGATCTTGGCTCACTGCAACCTCTACCTCCTGGGTTCAAATGATTCTCCTGCCTCAGCCTCCCAAGTAGCTGGGATTACAGGCACCTGCCATCATGCCTGGCTAATTTTTGTATTTTTAGTAGAGATGGGGTTTTGCCATGTTGGCCAGGCTGGTCTCAAACTCCTGACCTCTGGTGATCCGCCTGCCTCGGCCTCCCAAAGTGCTGGGATTACAGACACGAGTCACTGCGCCCAGCCTGAGTTGATTGTTTTTAATAGACATATTAGTAAAAGAAAAATACACAGAAAATAGTGAAATTAGGGGAAATACAGCAACTGTCTGACCTTCGTCCTAGAAAAACCCTGATCAGTGTCCCTGTATTGCATCACAGATACCAAAATTGTAATACATTCTTCATCATGCTACTGTCCCAGTGAAAACCCTGAGCATCTCTCATTTCTTCCCTTCCACTCTATCCTGGCTAATTTACTGTCCACAATTCACAGAGTATTGTCTCCGCTCTGCGCAGTCACAGAATGGGCGTGGTAACCTCTCCATGGCATTTCTACACATCACAAATCACATAGGAAGGGCTCCAAGAATATTAGAGAAATGAGCAAGTTAACTCAGAGTCTGTGGGGGAGCTGGCAACTCCTCAAGAAAGCTGGACGTCTCCAAGCTGGCCACCAACATTCCACAGCCTCTCCATGACCAGGGTGGGAGCTGTCCTGGATGCACAGTGCCATGTCCACAGGTTGACATGAGGGGCACATTCTAGATCAAGTGCCTGAGAAGGGCTTTGGAGACCTGGATCCTGTCCCTAGACAACTATGGGACCATGTACCAGTCACTTTCCCTTTCTGGGTCTGCGTTTCCACCTCTGTATAAAAGAGTAAGACTTGGTCAGTGTTTCTCAAAGCACTCTCCTTGGAAAACTACAACTGGGATATGTTATAAATGTCCCTGAAGAGGCTTTTGTGGTAAAATACACTTGAGAAATGCAGCTCTCTGCATCGTGCTCTTGGATTCCCAACACATGTTAGCAGGTTAGCGTCTCCAAGGTCCGGCAGTAAATAAACTTACTTATCGATGCTTATACCATGTTTATTTCACCTTGGCATCCTTTAAAATATTTTTTTTCCTGAGCATCTTGGTGATACATACACTGAATTAAGTGTTATCCACAGTCACTTCTCACTCCTTGAATCCATGACCACGATGAGTCACTCTCCATGCCATCCCCTCCATGCTGCCTGCCATCATCCTGCAGTGTTCCTGCAGCTGAATGTGGAGTATTTCAGGTGATCCCTGGAAAAACGAAGCTCTGTTCTGTGAGAGAGAATGGGTTAGCCACTCAGTACAGATCCCAGTGAAATGGGGTGAAGGAGAAGTAGCCTAATGACAAAGGAGAGGGGAGGGGAGTCTAAAAGGGCTTGAACTGCAGCCAGGAGCACCCAGATGGGGTGGTGCAGTTGGGGGACACTAAGTAGGAATAACATGGAGGGACACTAATAAGTGGGGAACTACAGAGGAATAATTTTCATAATACATCTATTAAAAACAGGGAGGCAGGACAAATGGTCAGAAGGAAAGGAAGGTTCTTGGCACCTGTGTGGTTCACTATCTTATTTGTGGCTGTAACTTCTCTCTTCCCTTGGATTTAAATACCAAATTTATGGTGATGGCTTCCACGTTTGAATATAATCTTTCGAGGAAGAGCATGGGCTTTAGAGTCACACAGCCCATGCCTCAATTTCTTCCTCTGTAACATAGAGTTAACCATAAGATTTACCTGCTAGGTGTGTGTATGAGGATTAAATGAGTTGACACATGGGAAAGCTCCTAGAATCATAACTAGTGCATAGTAAGCACTCCTAAATGACATGATCATGATCAATTGTTATTATTCATGTTTTCAGCTGTCAGTCCTCTCTGGCTTGACACTTCCACTCAGATGTCTCCAGGGCATCTCAGGCTTAACAAAACTGAATCAGAATTCTTGATTTTCTCAACAATACCCCACCTTCCCCAGCCTCCCTGTTTCAGTGAATGGCACCTGATATACCTGTAGCTCAAGTTTGGAACCTGAGGGTCAAGTGTGGTCCTCCTTTCCCCTTCCCTTTCATATGCACCCCACCAGGAACTTCTGCAGAGCACAAGAGTCCACCCTCAAAATATATTTTAAGTCCATCTACTTCTTCCCACCTCCCTCCCTTCTCTAGCCAAGCATCCCTTCTCTCTGGGTGAAGGCAGCAGCCTTCTGTGTGCCCTCCCTGTCTTTCTTCTCACTCTTTTCCAGGGAATCTGCACTTGTGGCCACAGCCTTTTGTAACAAATGTACCTGTGACCATCCTAAGACCTGTGGGGGCACAGAAAAGGAAGCCCATAGCTACCTTTGCTAGTTTTTGGTGTCCATTTGCATGAAATGCCTTTTTCCACCCCTTTCCTTTAAATTTATGTGAGTCCTTATGTGTCAGGTGAGCCTCCGGAAGGCAGCAGATAGTTGGTTGGTGAGTTCTTATCCATTCTGCAGTTCTGTATCTTTTAAGTGGAGCATTTAGGCCATTTACATTCAATGTTAGTATTGAAATGTGAGGTACCATTGTATTCATCAGGCTGTTTGTAGCCTGTGTACTCCTTTGTTAGTTTGTTTTTTGCTTTTGTTTTTTAGCTTGTATTTTTGTTTTACAGGTCCTGTGTGATTTATGCTTTAAAGAGGTTCTGTTTTGATGTATTTCCAGGATTTGTTTCAAGATTTAGAGCTCCTTTTACCAGTTCTCGTAGTGGTGGCTTGGTAATGATGAATTCTCTCAGGATTTGTTTGTCTGAAAACGACTGTATCTTTTCTTCATATAAGATGTTTAGTTTCACTGGATACAAAATTCTTGGCTGATAATTGATTTGTTTGAGATGCTGGAGGACAAGGCCCCAATCCCTTCTAGCTTATAGGGTTTCTGCTGAGAAATCTGCTGTTCATCTGATAGGTTTTCCTTTACAGGTTACCTGTTGCTTCTGTCTCACAGCTCTTAAGATTCTTTCCTTTGTCTTAACTTTGGATAACCTGACGACAATGTGCCTGGGCAAAGATCTTTTTGGGATAGATTTCCCCGTGTTCTTTGTGCTTCCCTCATATTTGGATGTCTAGGTCTCTAGCTAGACTGGGGAACTTTCATGATTATTCCCCCAAATATGTTTTCCAAGCTTTTAGAATTCTCTTCTTCCTCAGAACACCAATTATTCTTAGGAGTTTGAGTTTAGCTGTCAGACTTCTTGGAGGCTTTGTTCATATTTCTTATTCTTTTTCTTTGTCTTTGTTTGATTGGGTTAATTCGAAGACCTTGTCTTTGACTCTGAATTCCCTTTCTTGTACTTGTTCAATTCTATTGCTGAGACTTTCCGACATTTCATTTCAAAGAAGTGTATCCAAAAGTTTCTCAATTTTTGATTGTTTTTCTTTAAGCCTGTCTAGTTCATTGAATATTTCTCCCATTCAATACTGGGGGTGTCTATTCCAGAGAGGAGGGCCTACTTTTCCCACTTCTGCAATTGGAGCACTCACAGTATTTGGGGTGTCTCCTGGGTCCTACAGGAGCAGTCTGGTTCCTTCAGAGGTCTGCTTAAGGTCCTCTTGGGATTGCTGGTTTGTTCTTGCAGTCTGGAGCACAATCTGGTCCTGCCCACCCATCACTCGATCCCTCCGCCTCTCTGTCTACTTTAATCAGATAAGCCCAAAAGCTAGAACAAAGGACCTATATGAGCCTACGGATCTGCCTTCCAGACACTTGGCTTCCTCCAACTCACCGTGAGAACACTGACCCGAATCGGGATCCCTGCTTGGCTCCAACAGCCAGACACTCAGAGAGATCTCAGACCCAGCAACTAATGGACTTGGTGGGATGGTTGTCCTCAAAGCAGCCAGCATTTTTATCAGGATGGCGTCTGATCCCCTGTTGTTCTGGGATATTCAGAGTCTCTTGACATGTATCTTCACTTAATTGTGAATTTAAAAATTTATAGATGGATGTAGATATGGGTATAGAAATTATAGACATAGATATAGATAGACTTCTCTCTTTGAAGACTTCCTCTCAGAGTACAAGTCCATGGTTACAACCATTTTGTTTCCTCCAGCAAACATGGGAAGTCTGCTTTTCCTCTCTGAGAAGTTAACATAAATGTTTATTGACAGTGCAGTCATCAGGATTAAAATTTTGATTCATTCCTTTACACTGAAACCCTTTGTTGTGCCCTCCTCTTCCTTCCTCTTTATGAGGAGACACTCTGAAAGAAGCATTGTGAGGGCACACTCCCATGTGATGTTTATTGATTGCCTGTTCCTTGCTACCACCTGCGAACACGGTTCCCACCAAGGAGGCAGCGGGATCAGCCACTCACTGTCGCATCTGGGAGGAGCCACCCTCTGGGGTCTCAGAGGAATGATGGAAGCCTTGGGGTTTCTAAAACTGGAAGTGAATGGCCCCATGGTGACGGTGGCCCTGTCAGTGGCTCTCCTGGCCCTTCTGAAGTGGTAAGTGCAGCCAGCCCTAGGGACTGTGACAGCGTCAGCAGTCTCACCCTAGACCTTGCTGGTGCCATGGCGGGTATGCAGGCGTGTGTTTTCTTCTTTTCTAATCTAGCGGGAGTGAGGTATTGGCACAGCTTCCAGAATTAAGCAAACAGCCAGGTTAATCTTTTGCTAAATGCGCTGAGATTGAAGTGTCAGGAAAGGCTGGTGATTCAGTGACTGAGAACGCTACACATAATTAAGTTTTGAAGAGATGGAAAAACAAATTGAGAGGCATTAGGTTTGGGTAAAGTATTTCATAAACCCACATCATATCTCCTACCTCATTTTTCTAAAATCTTCTGTCCTTGTTGGATTTACAGTGAATTCAGCCTCTTGGTTCATATTACGACTACAAAACAAAAAAACAAGACTTAGGGCTGTTTGGCAAATGTGGACCTCATACATGAGAAGTCATTGAGAGGATTTCTGTAGGTTTAAGGACAAAGTGGTAGATCTAATTTCTCATATTTGATAGAGGGAGATGGATTCTGATGAACATATTGTGTGCAGTTCCACAAATTAGAGACCTGAAAGGATCTCAAACTTGAACTCGAGTTGCTCCCTGTGGTTTGTTAATTCAACAGCAGATTTTCTAAGCCTGACTCTGGTGTCTGTAGATCGAAGGCCTCATAATATGCTACATTTATGCATATTCACCCTGCCAGTTAAACTTATTAGAGTTACCCATTCAATCAAAAGCACCTGGATTTAGACGGCTCTGGCTTTTGAGGGCAAAGTGGAAAAAATAATGGAGAGCAGTCCGAACAGAATTTTTAATTTATGTTTTTACGTGTATAAACCTTCTCTAGATTAATAACTGGAAAAGCACTTTGAAAGAAAGCATCAAGCATTATGCAAATGTGAGGTATTATTCTTTTGGAATTTGCATAGCTGAGAGTGGAATTCACGTTTGATGTTCTATGATGATGAAATTACTTCTTGAAGTGGCTCTTGAAACCAGCCTCCCAGTGCAGTGCTGTTTCTTTTTAACTGGTTTAATTATTTTTTTTTGAACTTTTTTATCTTGTGTAGCTTATCTTGGATTGGAAACTGTACATATAAAACCAAGAGCAAATGATAACCCCTTCCCTGCCCCAGCCCCCAATAATCCATCTTAATGTGTTTATGCTCAGAAGCCAAAGCACAGTGTCTGACATGTAGAAAGTGCTTAGTCGATGTCAGCTACTATAATTCACTATCTATCATCTATGTAACCTAAAAGAAAATAAGTCTTTAGTGGTTTAGGTTTATTTTTAATTTCTTACTAACGTGCTTATTCATATCAATCTTATCAATAGCTATGCTCTGACTGTGGTTCTCAAAGTGGACACTTTTTTACACTTTTGTTTCAGTCTTTGTTGTCTGAGCCCTAGCTCAGTTCTAGCATAGCCAAGGAACACCACACCCATTCAGCAGGGCAGCTGTGTGTTTGCTGTCTATTCTTGGGCTGTATTAATAACCTGGTTCAAAAAGATGCAGAGATTGAATAAATGTACCAAGCAGAAGTGGTATAAATAGGGAAGTGAGAGCTGACTTCTGTTGTTATCACAAAAATATGTATTAACCTGTTAATGTGTGCCCAATCTTAGAGGAGACCACAGTATAAGGTCAGGGAGCAGGATCACGGAGAAGGTGCCCAGGCAGGAGGAGACACGCAGAGGTTCTGGGGGTGAGCTCGATGTCTAGAGGAGATACTGCAGGAGGAGCGGAGGCAGCAGGAGAGAGGTGTTGGCTCTGGCTCTGGTGCTTTTGGGTCCATCCCTTTGATTCAGTACAGGGGAACCACCATTGGGCTTTCAACCCCTTCTGTTCCAGGTGAGACCTAGTCAGCCACTAAGCAACAGCCACCAGCTTGAATGAGGTAAGGCCCTCTTCCTGTTACATTCTCTTGAAAGGATGTGTGTGGAAAGACAGGGGTCTTGTCCTCCAGTGAGATTCACAGGCAAGGAAAGCGGTATAGGAACACTTGCAGGAGAAACTGGCAGGGGAGTGGGTTAAACACTGCAGCACATTAGTCTTTGCTTTAAGTGCTACATGTGCTTAATCAGCCAGGTGAGATGGCAGCCCGAAGAACCTGCCTGAGAAGGTAAATCAAATGGGCTGGGTGCGCTGGCTTGTGCCTGTAATCCCAGCACTTTGAAGACAAGGCAGACAGATAACTTGAGGTCAGAAGTTCGAGACCAGCCTGGCCAGCATGGTGAAACTCCATCTCTAGTAAAAATACAAAAATTAGCTGGGCGTGGCAGCAGGTGTCTGTAATCCCAGCTGCTTTGAGACCAGGCAGGAGAATCACTTGAACCTGGGAGGCAGAGGCTGCAGTAATCTGACATCATGCCACTGCCCTCCCGGCCTGGAGTGACAAGAAAGCCTTTGTCTTAAAAACAAAAACAAAAACAAAAACAAAAACAAAAAAAAACAGAAGGATGGAGAGGATCATGGTGGACAGAAAACAGGACTAGATTGCGGCTCTAGACAGGCAGCATCTGGATGCTTCCATGGTGAATTTTGGCTCAGATTGACTGCAAGAATAAACCATCAATCCTGGGGGACCCACAGACCTCTGAAGGAGCGGATTGCTCCTGCATGACCCGGAGACACCCCAGATGTTGAGTGCCCCAACTGCAGAGGTGGGAAAGGGAGACCCTCCTCTCCCAACACACTCCCCCAATATTGAATAGGAAATATTCTGAAATAGATAGCTTAAAGAAAAAACAATCAAAAATTCAGGAAACTTTGGATACACTTTTAGAAATGTGAAGTAATACTGGAAGTCTCAGCAATAGAATTGAACAAGTACAAAGAAAGGAATTCAGAGCTCAAAGACAAGGCCTTGATTAACCCAATCAAACAAAGACAAAGAAAAAGAATAAAGAAAATATGAACAAAGCCTCAGAAGTCTGGGATTATGTTCGTGACCAAACCTAAAGACAGGTAATTGTTCCTGAGGAAGAAGAGAATTCTAAAAGCTTGGAAAACATATTTGGGGAATAATCAAGGAAAAGTTCCCCAGTCTGGCTAGGAACCTAGACATCCAAATATGAGAAGCACAAAGAACAAGTGGGAAATTCATCCCAAAAAGATCTTTGCCCAGGCACATTGTCATCCCAGGTTGTCAAAGAAGTTCCAGACAAAGGAAAAGAATCTTAAGAGCTGTGAGACAGAAGAACCAGGTAACCTGTGAGAAAACCAATCAGATGAACCACAGATTTCTCCAAAAAAGAATCCCTACAAGCTAGAGGATTGGGGCCTTGTCCTCCAGCATCTCCAAACAAATCAGTATGTCAAAATTTTTGTATCCAGTGAAACTAAGCATCTTATATGAAGGAAAGATACAGTCATTTTCAGACAAACAAATGCTGAGAGAATTGCCATTACTAAACCACCACTACAAGAACTGGTAAAAGGAGCTCTAAATCTTAGAAACAAATCCACCAAACACATCAAAACATAACCTCTTTAAAGCATAAATCCACACAAGATTTATACAACAAAAATACAAGCTAAAAAGCAAAAGCAAAAAAACAACAAAATCCAGTACACAGACAACAAAGAGCCCGATGAATGCAATGGTACCTCACATTTCAATACTAACATTGAATGTAAATGGCCTAAATGCTCCACTTAAAAGATACAGAACTGCAGAATGGATAAGAACTCACCAACCAACTATCTGCTGCTTTCAGGAGACTCACCTAACACATAAGGACTCACATAAACTTAAAGAGAGGGTGGAAAAGGCATTTCATGCAAATGGATACCAAAAGCAAACAGGGGTAGCTATTCTTATATCAGACAAACAAACCTTAAAGCAACAGTAGTTAAAGGAGACAAAGAGGCACTGGGTGTGGTGGCTCATGCCTGTAATCCTAGCACTTTGGGTCACAAGGTCAGGAGTTCATGACCAGTGTAGCTGTATAGTGAAACCCCATCTCTACTAAAAAAAAAAAAATTAGCCGGGCATGTGGTGGTAGGTACTCTGTAGTCCCAGCTACTTGGGAGGCTGAGGCAGGAGAATCACTTGAACCCAGGAGATGGGGTTGCAGTGAGCTGAAATTGCACCAGGCACTCCAGCCTGGGTGACACAGAAAGACTCTTTCTCAAAAAAATAAAAAAGAGAGACAAAGAGGGACATTATAAAATGGTAAAGGCCTTGTCCAACAGTAAAATATCACAATCCTAGACGTATATGCACCTAACACTAGAGCTGATTTATAAAACAATTACTAATAGGCCTAAGAAATGTGATAGATAGCAACACAGTAATAATTGAGAACTTCAATATTCACTGACGGCACTAGACAGGTTATCAAGACAGAAAGTCAACAAAAGAAACAATGGATTTAAACTATATCTTGGAACAGATGGACTTATCTGATATATACAGAACATTTCATCCAACAACTGCGGAATACACATTCTATTCAACATCACATGGAACTTTCTCCAAGATCGACCATATGAGAGGCCATAAGCGAGCCTCAATAAATTTAAGAAAATTGAAATTGTATCAGCCACTCTCTCAGATCATAACAGAATGAAAATAGAAATCAACTCCAAAAGGATCCTTCAAAACCATGCAAACACATGGAAATTATTCAATAACCTGATCCTGAATGAGCATTGGGTAAAAAACAAAATCAAGATGGAAATTTAAAAAATTCTTCTAACTGAATGACAATAATGACACAACCTATCAAAACCTTTGGGATACAGCTAAGGTGGTGCTTTAAGAGGGAAAGTTCATAGCCCTAAATGCCTACATCAAAAAGTCTGAAGAGCACAGGCTTATACAATCATAAAAGGTCACACCTCCAAGGAACTGAAAGCAGGACAAACTGAACCCAAACCCAGTAGAAGAAAATAGCAAGATCAGAAGAGCAGAACTAAATGAAATAGAAACACACACACACACACACACACACACACACACACACACACACAAATGTAAAAGATAAATGAAA